ATAGCCTTACTTCTCCTTAACATTTTCAAATTTCCAATTCTATAATATAGATTGAAACTTTCGTCAATATTTTCATCACCTAATGATATTGCATAATTTGGTTTTATTGTAAATATTATCTTTTGATAGACTAGATTTCCTACAACTGTTCCTAATAGAGCGTCTATAGGATCTTGTAAGATTCTGTTGTCTATACAGTATATTTTTATTGGTTTATTCATACCTTCTCTAAAAAATCCTTTTACCATTATCTGGACTCCTCCTAATTCAATACATTTTAATTTGTTTCATACATTTTCTGGGATTTTGGATAGTTTTTGTTTTACCTATTCTTTTGTGATTATAGGAATTCTTGCCTTTCCTATAGTATCTTCTATGTTGATAGACATTTCTTTATAATTCATACTTACAATTGTTTTATTTACCCTTGGTAAAATTTCTAAAAATCCTTGATGGAATACATCTTTTTCTTGTAAATCTAATATCTTTTTAGTGATTCCTGCATATTTTTTAATATCAAAAGTTATTTCCTGATTCATATATACTATCTCCTCATAATCTTCTTCTGATGAAGATGTATCTAATTTATAAATACTACTACATTCACTACTTAAATCTCCAAAGTATTCAATTGGTTCTATATCACTATCTTCTTGGAATTTTTCATAAATTCTAAGAGTTTTTATATTTTGTTTATCTTTCTTTTTCATTAGAAGCATATCTATCTCCTAGAAATTCTGTTTTTAAAATCTTTTAAAATCTTTTTAATATTTCCTGTATGTTTTGTTCATTTAAAGTATTTCTATTGTCTAATACTTCAGTTCTATTTGTTCCATATTTTATTCTTCCTTTAATAATTTCTGGTAACTTTCTCCACCATTCAGAAACAATTCCTCTGAATGTATGTTCTATAAATCCAAAAGCTGTATATGTTTCCCATTTGTTAAATTGTATAGCTAAATCTGTACTTTTTATCCATGTTTCAATAGCTTTATCTTTATCTACATAGTCTAGATCTAACCATACTCCTGTTGTGTGGATTGGTTCATTATAAGATTTCATTGGATTTATTTCTTTTATGGATTGTTTTCTTACATTTCCAGTGTATCTTTTCTGTGTTTTTCTATATTGATTAAGACCATCTTTAAGTGGTATTGTAGTACCATAAGGATAATCTTGTTCTTCATCACTACTGAATTCTATTTTTATATCATGACTTGAAGATGGATTAATATTCATTTTTGTATTTTCCATTTTTTCAGTTAATTCTTTTAACTGTTTTTTATATTCTTCATACTCTTCTCCTGTAGATTCTAAGAATTTTTGTTCTATTTCTTCTACATCTGTAATCATATATTGTTTTTCTTCATGCTTTTTTTCCTTTATTTTGTGTTATTCTAAAATCTTGGGGTGGATTAATTATAATCCTATCTTTTCCTCTAAGGTTTTTATCTAATAGGGCATTTCCTATTTGTAGATTATGTTCTAAATTCTCTAATCTTTTATGTGTATTCCCAAAATTTTCATTTGTGGTATTTTTAAGTAAATAAGGATAACTAGGTTTTTTATGTTTTTCGACTTTTTTCAAAAATTCTTCAATTATATTTTCTTCATCTACTATATTCATCATAATTTTTGGTTCGTAACATGGCTCTGATACCATTCTGTCGGAGTGTGCAGCGGAGGGGTTAATATTTTTGAGCCACTTAAATTCTTCATAGGTATTTAAAATATCACAATAGAATTTATAAAATTCACCATTTTCTATTAATACCTTTTCTTTAATAATTACATTTAGTTCTTTAATTCTTCTTCTTAGATTAAGAATTATTTTATATATATTATTTTCTGTTTTTATTGTACTATTATTTATAGTAACGTTTTTATTTTTTAATTTTGGATCTAAATATTCTGTAAAGAATCCTTTCAGATCTTCTTCTAAATAGTTTAAGTCACTTTCTGTTGCATTTTTTAGATCAATAAAATTTTGTATTATATTTGGATTTAAATTTATTAAAGATTTATGATCTATATTTTCTTGAGGACCTATTTGAAGGTTTTTATACATTGTAGTGACTTTGGTTGCAATTTCTCTATAAGGGGTATTTTTGGAAGGGTAGTTATTTGAAGGCTATTTTTCAAATGTTTTCATTTCTTAGCCTAATTTCAAAAATCTTCCTACTAATTAAGCTATTTAGATGTATTTCCCAAGTTCATGGCCCTCTCAAATCCAAGTTGGGTGGTTAGAACTAGGGGTGTAAGCGGTCCTGTTTTACCGGTTTTTGATAAAATTTCAAACCAAACCGTTTAAATCGGTTTGAGAAAAATCCAAACCTAAACCAAACCATTTTGAACGGTTTGAAAAAAACTCAAATTTAAACCTAACGATTTAGTCCGATTTTAAATCGTCGATTTCGCCGTATATTTTTTTGTCTGTCTACTTTTATGACATCAATTCATTGAATTCAATATATATTTATATTTTACTAGCTATAAATCTAAAACAATCTAAACTCTTGTTTGAATCAAATTTTTGGGACAAAAAAAATGAACATTTAGACCATTATCCCACGAGTCCAACTACATTTGTTGTTTCATGCGTGGGACCCTCCAGCCTCCTCTTCAACGGTCAATTTTCTCATTATGATAACATGAAAAATATGGGTCGAACAGGAACTAAATATATCTACTATAAATTTAAATATCTACTAAATCAAAGTGAAATCACAATAAACTAAAACATAATTTTTTTCATTTTTGTTCACCTTTTTTATGCTAATTACTTTATGATAATGTTACAATACAAGTCTACTAAACGAGATATAAAATCCAAAAAGCATAGTGATATCCAACAAGACCTCGTGATCATCATATCTGAAAAAATGTTACTGATTAAACAAAGAATAACCAACCACAATAATAAAGCAGTTGTTTATAATATCTAAACATAACAATTACACAAATTACGTTTATATGTTACGAAACGCATTTAATTTTAGATTCTTACCTCAGTTTGCTCAAAAAAATTATTAATTTGAAACTTTATTCGTAGTAAATATTATCACCAAATGCCTAGGATCTCTTTGTCTTCGATTTGATGTAATGGACTACAATTCAACTTTGAAGAGGCGTAAAAAATCTAAAGAAAAAGTATGTGTGGTGTCGGTGGCTCAAAACTGTGTCAGGTGTCAGCTGAAGTTTATCTGAATTATGAAGAGGAAAAGGGCTTTTGATAGATTACCTTAATTTTGAGATTATTAAATATAAATTGGGATTATTAAATAATAATAATAATAATATATATGTATTCGAAAATTAGAAATTGATAAAAATACCCACAAATGACAAAACTATTGAATTTTACATATTTGGATGAATTTTCAAAAAATTTCATTTTTTATTTTTTTATTTTTATATATTTTTTGCCGGTTCAGTTTGATTTTAAATCGCAATTAAAATTCTCAAACCTAAATCAAACCATTTTGACCGGTTTGGTTTGGTTCGGTTCAAAACCATTTTGTTGACTGGGTCCAGGTGGCACCAAACCGACGGTTTCTAAAATGCGGTTTCGGTTCGATTTTACGGTTTTTGCTTACAGCCCTAGTCAGAACTGATAATAGAGGGAAGCAGTACGTGCGGGAAACGTGCATGTTTGGCTGAGCTAAGCTAATTATAATTTTATAAATAAAAAAAATGAGTAAATTGAGAAAAAGAAGAATTTGTGGAAGAAATTCTCAACCTTTACCTTATATTTTGCACTTCAGATCTCTAATTTTTATTTCTTCTATACTTTCTTTCATTTATTAATTCATTCATAGTTCCTATAACAAAAACCCTCATTCTTAGCCCATGTTTGGTACTAGCTAAAATTAAAATTTTAGATTAACAATTCATTTCAATAATATATTTTACGAATTTCACAACTTTTCAACAACACATTTCATCAACTTTCATCAAAATCTCCTAAAAATTTGATTTTAATCCCCACTAAATTGGGGGTTAAAGCCTTTAAACACAATGCCTCACAATTAATGTTGTCAAAATTTCCTCCCATTATATAATCATGTGCAATGCATTTGTCAACTTAGCCCGTGTTTGATAGGGATTAAAATTAGATTTTTATTAGATTTTGATAAAAGTTTTTGAGGTGTATAGCTGAAAAGTCGTAGGAACCATGAAATATGCGTTTAATATCGACTGTTTCACTTTAATTTAAATTAAAATCTGATTTAAATTAATACCGAACAGAGATTTAATATATTTTTCAAATTGTTTTCGTTTTTATAAATGGTGGGGCAATAAAAAGAAGAGGTTGAAGATATCTCCCCCACAAAAATAAAGTTATAGTTGAGGATGGTAACCTCACTTTTTACTTTTATTTGTCAAGTGTCGTTACTGAACTTTTTTAATATTAGAAGAAAAGAAGAAACCTCAATAATTTATTTGGAAAAACTCTACGTCCAACCGTTACGGGAAACTAAATTATGCGATGAAACTTTTAAATTTTAAAATATTTTCAAATTATAATAAAAATAAAATGAAGCCATTATGTTTCCATCAATCCAACCACTCACGGGCCTCTCCAACCAATTGAACAGTAGCATCCCACCATTATCTGTTTTATTTTTCTTCCTCATTGCTTTTGTTTATAGGTCATATTTATCTGTTTAATGAAATTAAATGCCGCACATCATGTAAATAATTTGTAATAAAATATTCTATTCATATTCAATATTTATAAATTTTGTATAGAAAAAATAAATTATGAGCTATATAATAGAGAAATAATGCTTGGTCCATTAGTATGAATAAAAATTAAAAAGCACTTTTGCACAATGTCCACAGTACTTTTTAACTTGATTTCCAAAATAAAAACTCCACCAAACGGACCTTTAACTACACTTGCCGTCAATTGAGAACATTATTATGGTACGTTCTTTACTCTGTTTTAGTAGAATTGAAAGCAGAATGCAACTAGTGCAAGTAACACAAACGAAAGCTTTGTAAAAATGAAATGCACATGCACTTGTAGCATAATCCATCCAAAGTTCCCAAACTGTGGCTTGTCCAAAAATACAACAGGTCAATCCCTACATCTATTTGAATTACTCTCTGAAATTTTAAACGGGTTTCGTGTCCTGATTCCTTAGAATTAAGCATACCAAACAAAACAAAAACTCTTTGAGACTCGAGACAGAGGAACACACTAAAAGAAGACCTGTTGTTAATATCTTTCTAAAGAGGGAGATACACGCAGGAAGCAATATTGTCTCTGGAAACATGTTGATCTAGAATATAGGCTTCAAGAAGTGACCCCATATGGGAGAAGAGCTGCAGCTACGATCCTGCCTTCTTCGTTCAATACATTGTACGTTGATGCAGCGTTTCTCTGCAACATAAGAAGAAGAGAAGAATAGATCAGGACAGTATACAGAAGATGAGATAGAAGTCGACACCCAAAATAGGTGATATTTATGCAATGTGATCAAGCTGCTGATGACATACAAACGTGTTAAGTGGCCAAACAGAGAGCTGATATTGTGTCAAGTAAAGCACAATGTTATATATCATGATGCTATCATATGAAACAATCAACATATTTGCATTTGGGCAAGTTTTTGAACACCAACTTGCCTCTACATCTATTTAGGTATGTAGATGAGCAGGTTAAGTTTGGCAAACAAACACCAGCTTCCTTGCTCATTTTTCTCTCTAGCAATGTGTGTGCCACATAGGATATTTCATATTTGTGATCATGGTCTGATTACAGGTACATTGCATCTCTTCTAATCAGTGGTGAGAATAAGGTGCCATATCTTTGGAATGCCATATGTGGTTATGCATTATTAGTTACTAGTAAAATGGGAGCAATCATTTCAGACTAGAGTCTCTTAAAAGACTCCTACATCCACCATCTCCAAAATATTCTTACAGGTTGCTCCATCATCATTAGTTTGCACCCTTAGGAAGTAGGAAAGTTCCATATTAACAGTGCACAACCTCACGCCTCATTTTTCATCAACAACAAAACAAGTCTCATAACAACTTAGGCAAATCATCTGTAGAGGGAATAGAAGAGGATCAAAATCGTTGTTGATTGAGCATTTCTCCAGAATTAGACAAGACTCACAACAATGGCAAACATCAAAAAACCAACAATAATTCTTATCCCTTCCAACTCCTTTCTCATGCAAGTTCCAGTCAGAAAAAATAAGATCCTCAAAATTCATGAGATCCCTACAAAAGTTTGAACCCGTTTCAAGTCTCAAACTGCATTCATAACGGTTTTTTGACAATGACCAAATCTTGAGCATAATGCGTCATTTGTAATTTCTCATCTGACCCCCAAGCGTATTTTTAGTTGATCACGTCTCATAATCCAGATCCAGAAATTCATCTCTTCACCATTCCCCTTCCATATGGCTTCACACAGCTTACTAAGAAAATCATAAGCCGAGTTTGATTAGAAGGAACTATCACTTTGAGACTCTGCATATCAATTTAACAGAGGAGAAAGAAATAGGGTCATGGCAATTGATGATGGTAGGTCAATGATGCCAAGTATTAGTAGTTGAAGAAAGAGAGAGTGCACGAAGAAGCAGCATTGAGATGCTGTAGCTAGATGAGTAGATAGGGGGGTAAGGAGAAGTGAGACAGAAATGGCGATACTGCAAACTGGGAAGCTCCATGTCCACGTAGTGTAAGATGAAGAATCACAACACAATAATTTTCCATGTGGCAGTGATAAATATGACTCCATTAGGATCCTCAGTCTGAACTCTGCCCTTTCTTATTTACAGAGCTAACTTAAATGAGATGAGACTTGGTGAGAGCTGCCAATCTAAATACACTATTTGCAATGCAAAAAGCATGCTTACAACATAAAATTTGAGAGGGTAACAGAAAATACTTACTGAGTCAACTGCTTCCAGTTTCATGCCAGTAGAACGAATGAAGCTACGAAGTTGAGGATCTATCGGTTGAATGTTCCTTCCACAACCAAGAATCAAAATTTCTGAAATCATCAGATGTCTGACTTAGCTATATAAATAAGCGATGAACATAGCAGTTTGTATGTGATTACAGCTAGAGTTCTTGCTTTCCATTTAAAAGGTCGCATAAGAAGATTCAGAAAGAGCAATAACATATGCATAGGGAAAAACCAAGTGCAGGACCCATGATATGTTCTCAATCACTTTCTGGACTGTGAATTAACCATTGAATAGCATTTCACTTAAAAATTCAAGTCCAAGGACGAGTACTCAAAGCCAGGACAAGTTTAGAAATTTCAGTTTAAAAAAGTAACAATGAAAATTTATCTCCGTTGGGTAGAGACTGTACATCATGCAGAGCTCCAAACTTTCAATGAGTTCTGAAAGTAGCAAAAGATCATGAGACTAGGTTCTTCCACAGGCTTATTTTTCTAGGCGAACAGACGAAATCAGTGTAAAGGTTCAGGGATCAGATATCCATTTTTCTTTTCTTTAGTCTGCATATTCAAACAGCCCTGCATCATAAATAAAGAACCGCTTCCCATTGATAAAATTATTCTGGAGTTTGAAGTCCACAGGCAAAAGTGATGACAAAACAACAGCGGTACAGTACTGTGACATTATCTGGTAAGCAGAATAATTTCAAGGATTAAAATGGTGTATAACCTTAAATTTGTACACTCATAATTATGCAGAGAAAATTTCTAATGTGTAAACCAAAACTAGATAATGCAACCATTTCTGTTAAAAGATCCTTTCATGTCTGTTGAGAATATTCTATACAATGCCGAAGGCAAATAAGTAAAGCTAAAACATGAAAGCAGCTAATAAATGACAGTGATTGTTAATAAAAAGCACTAAAGCAGTTCCCCCCAGCATTGTGGCACAAGTTAAACTTTCTCTTCCAAAAAGCCATCATTCTTTCCGAGCATAACTTACCTTGTAAGGGTTTACTCTTCACAAGCAGGTATTAGGGAAGTTCAGTAAGACTTAAAATTCATGATCAAAATGTTATATAAATCAGAAAGATGGGATACCACAGTCATGATATAATAAACTGTGCATCAAATTCTTCACAAAAAGATATTGTTACACTTCTCACCAGGTATTGGCCGTACAGTCTGGAAAATAGATAAGCTGCAGAAAATCAAATAAAGAAAATGGATTCAGAATGCACGAAATAACTCCACAAAATCAACAGGTCATTGTTATTTTGTCTGAGATAAATTAGTTATCATAAACTAAATACCTAAAAACAAAAAGTGAAAATTCATTTTTAAATTTCCAATTTGTTGTCCTCGAAACCCAAAGCAACCAAGAACTATCATTGTATATCAGGGAAAGAAAAAAAAAAAAAACTAACACAACTATGTTATCATTTTATAATCTAAAGAAGTAAAAGCTTAAATTGTGTGTCTCAACCTATGCAATGTCAAATGTCAATGACCTCAGAAAGTGATTGACTATGATGTCAAGACATTTTTGCATTAAAAAACATCAGACAGTCATCCAGACTTCCATTTATCTGGAGCCAAAACCAATAAAGTCTGCAACTTTGTTCACACATTGAATGACTGTTTCACAGTTGATAACAAATTTCAGCCAACAATCAGTTGACACTTCCAAGATGATATGGCTATAAAAAACTAGACGTCAATCAAATCAACCTAAAAGAAATTAGCTGAAGATATCGACTAAATTAGATTTTTCTCCTATACACTTTCAATTCTTGAGAAATCTGAAGCAAACTTTTAAAATCAACAATTTAAAAAATAAAAAAAGTGGATTTCATATTGAGTTTGTTCTTTCCATGCAAAAATAAAGCAGTAATTAAATGAAATTGAGATATAACGTTTACAACTGAAGTACCTTTCAGTAGTAATCTCTGAGAACTTCTTGGGAGTCCAAGACATCAGCAAGTTTCCAACACAAAGCAAGCTACCTTCATACCTGACCCCATTTACTTTGAACCCTGTATCATCAAACCTGACAAAAGATAAAAAGATAAGGTGGAGTTAAATACCCGTGAAAAAATAAAAAAAAAAGCTTCAGACTGCTTCCACCATATATTATGTACAAGCACACCTAAGATCCATTCATGTGTACAATTAATATAAGTAGACAAATATGGAAAAGATTGAAAGTTGCATGCTGTGCAAGATAATACACAATAAAAGACAAACTTCCCATTTTTCTGATGTCCCTAAAAAAATATGCAAATCTAATTAAGAATTAAACCACAGATGTAAGAATTATTGAGGACAACATATAACAAAATGTAACTGAGAAGGTAAAACAAATCTAATGAATTGATAAGATGTGTAAATAAAAATTTTGTATAATGTAATTATGTGCATATACATATTTTGATTTAATTGAAGGAGGTACTTTGTAAAAGTCAGATATTGAGAGAAGAAAATCACAAGATGCAGGAATATAGACCACTGTGCTGCGGAACTTTAAGGAAAAGAGAAAAAAGCATAGAGATGCATGAGAATACAGAAAATGTTATATCAATGCACCCTCAGTAGTTAAAGACAATAGGTCTATATCAAAACCAAAAATGCAATGCAAGAAAAGCTAATGTATAGCTAATAAATAACCGATAGTAAAAGCAATTACAATTCCGAAATGATTCTATGAAAAGAAGCAACGCAACAATTTTACTGAAAAATACTAAGGGATTTGTACTACGCTACTCCCTGCAATTCAAATATCTTACACGAATTTATTGGCTTAATCTGAATCTCTTCCTGAGTTTTGTTGAATTAGCCTTTTTGTTTATAGCAAAACAATTCACGTAATAAAAAAATTAACCTTTATTAAAATTATAAAACAAGCGCACTCCCGCAAATTCGAGCGGCAAATTATTGTTTCAAAGGTTTTTCCATTAACAAATAAATTAGTCAGATAAACCGAATAGGACATTCAATATGAAAACAACTGGTTATATTGTGGACAAATATGTCTATAGAAGATTACTCTTGGAAGCGGAGCTGGTCTTCGGGGACGTTATCTATGAGATTGATCTGATCGTAGAGAGAGAAAGCTCTTCTCAGGGACGGCAACGGCTGGTTTTGCTTCGAAATTCCTTCTTTTCGCAGCGCTCGCAGAAGTGTTGGCAGTGCTGCCACCGCCCGCTGTCTCACTGCCATTTCTTTACGATTATTCCCGGCCGATTGACCGATTGAATTACAGAGGAAATATGTGTGTACAGTGTATATGTTGACGATTTTCTCTTTCACCAAGACCCTCAACTTTTATGGCGGTGTAAATTGTTCTACTCAACTTTCCAAAAAATAAAAATAAAAATTAATTTATTTTATTTTAAGACATCACAATAACATTCTATAGTACATCGCGTAGAAAATATTGGACAAAATAAAAATAAAAATTAATTTCTTTCATTTTAAGACATCACAATAACATTCTATAGTACATCGCATAGAAAATATTGTACAAAATAAAACATATAAAGTATAACCTCTATTTGATTTAACTTAAAATCAAATTTTTTTATAAATTTTGATAGATGCTAATAAAATATATGATTATAAAGTGATCAAATTTAGATCAAACAAGGAAATAGTATGTTTAATTTCACATACTCAATATTAAATTATCAATCGCGCAAAATTATTTTGACGTATACGTTAACCTACAAACTCATATTTTGCCTTTTAATGTTTGGTCTCGCTGCCAAACTATTATATTATGTACTCTAATTAATCCCAAATAGGGTTAATCGTACCGAAGGTAACTAAAATGAATCATGCTACTTGTACATTGAGTTTGACACTATTCATTACATTGTGTCACGTGACGATGTTACATTGGACAGTTTGAAAATAAAAAACACTTTCCTGCCAACACTTGTTTTGAAAACAATGGAATGTCAAGAATGATGTCAAAATGTTGATGTACAAATAACATTATTGAACTAAAATTCCCCCCAACGTTGATTAGATCATTGAAATTCAATTGTGAGGGTTACAAAAATTTAACTTAACAATAATTCAATCACTTCGTTAGTTTCCGTTAGCATAAGTAATAGAAGTTGACGATGTAGATATCCACAAACTTACTATAACATTACACAAACATTGCATAAATATTTCCTCGAACCTACGCATTATAAAAGTTCAGGGTAAACTGAAAGCATCAAACTCCATAATTACATAACCCTGTTAAACTATACTTTCAATGTAAAATAAATTTAGCTACTGTTCGATAGAAATTAAAATCTTGATTAAATTCAATAATAAATTTTAATCACATATTTCACGAGATCCACAACTTTTTAAGTTTAACGACACATTTTATTAACTCGTATCAACATATACAAAAAAGATCTGATTATAATCCTACCAAAGAGAGGCTTAAAACCTTATTGAATAAGGTCTTCTCTCTATCCATGTAATCGTGTCAAGATTTTTGTTATGTAATTACATTAAGTATAGAATTAAATCCCAAAGAAATAATCAATATTTTCCACGAAAAAATAGAACGGACCACAGCAGCAGCAGCAGCCCAAACGAAAACGTTACTCGCCCCTTTTTGCATATACAAATCAACACGACAGCTCACATCGTAGAGCCAATATGTTCTACACCACTTACTGAATTTTTCTCACATCAAAAACAAAATCTAAAAGTATACCCCATTGGCTTTTCCTCCTTTTTTTATTTAAACTTATAAAGAAGAAATAATTTAGCTACTAACATATGCAGGAGCAGGCAAGAAAGGAAATGGCGCGACTGAGGCGTATGCCACAGGTGGCCGTGCTTGAGAACCGACCCCATCACGTTTATATTTTCTCTGAGGAATGTGTTCCGCATAGTCTTCAATACTTTCCAGGGAAGGAAGAAGTTCAACGAACTTATGTGACTTCTCCACTAGCACAGACTGCTCATTGTCAGATTGACGATGAACTAGAAGGCCAGACATAAACACCGGAAGATAAAGAAGGCTAGCATGGAACATTCTCCTGGCTGTTTTTGCCGTCCGGTTCATGCAGAAGGATGCTGCAGTACAACTAATCGCAAGAGCAAGTATCGTCGACTCGATGCAGAACCACCCAGATGTTATACCCCCTGCGGATAGTCATTATTAAGAATGCAAATAGTACTCCCGACAATAATCATCAGAGAAAGATCAACTGCTTCTACAGATTATGCCATAAAACTTATTAGGATAATTCTACATGTCCATTATGGTATCCATAAGGGAGTTCATAATGTACACGTGAAATTTTATGATTAAAGGGTTGAAAAAATTGTTTTTCAACTCTCCAACGATGTTATGTTACTCATACATTATGAACACCATAATGTACATGTAGCATAATCCAACTTATCATCAATATAAACTTGCATGTGTACAGGGAAGCATTTTCCTTTTAGATACAAATGCAACAGCCCCCGTCTCCTTTGAAAGAAGATCTTGAAGTATAAGAAGCATCTACAGAATAAACAGACTGGGAAAAAAATAAAATAAATAAAAGAGGCAGGCTCCACAAAAACACACTTCCAGTAAAACCAACCTTCAATCTCATTAATTACCCAAGACGATGAAGAACTAGCATGCCATAATCAAATGGGACGACTCTCTCAAAATTTGTGTTTATAAAAACAGAGAACTAACTATGGTTATTAAGCTTAGGCAAGTAGAAAATGTAAAATCAATATGAACAAACAAATTAGGAGAAGTATAGATGCTCTCTTGTCAAAAAAATGGCTGAACTGGGACACAAGCACTAATTACTTTTCTTGAGAAAAAAGAAAGTAATTAGCTAATCATTTAAATTAAAGGCAGCAGGTTTGATTATATACTCATAATAAACTTAGCCTACTACTAACCAAGGAAAGAACAAAAAGGTAAACCGACTCAACAAAAATTGAAAAAAAATTAAAAATTGTAGAATCAACTCACAATCATACGCAAGGTAACCTAAGGGAAGTAGATATAGGCAGTTCCTCAAAGCAACCAAGGCCGTTCTCAGACCTGAAGCATCGGCAAGAGAAAACATCCTGAACCTAAAAGGAAAGAAGATACAGTAAAAATTAGAGACTCAATAGACTTGATGAATGACAATTAAAGAAATCGACATAATGTCCATCTGCAAAAGGTTAAACGCCCAACTCTTAAGATGACAAAGCTGATAGTGAAATTTATTAGAATGCCAACTTCCTTAACCATGCAAATACAGTGATGTAAAATTTTCATTTCCCTTGGTAAAGATTTGTCTAACGAATTCCATTGCTACTTGCTACGGAAGCTCTAAACTTTTGCAGATTGTTACTACATGAGAGCAGAAGATCATTTAGAACCAAGTCAAAAAGAAAAAGGTTCATTTAATACAAACATTCTACCAAGAGAGCTGATCTAGTAACTTTCCCATGCCAAGCAAGTTGATTCATCTTTTAAGTCAAGCATCGTCATACAATAAATTCTAATATACTGAGAAATAAAAAATAGTTTGACCCTCATACCCTCCATCTGCATAATCTTTGCGACACAAGTATGCTAGGGCCATAAAATGAGGTAATTGCCAAAAATATAGAGCAGCTGGGAGAATCATTGCATTAAGTGAAATCTGGCCGGAAGCTGCAGCCCACCTTGTAAAGGAGAAAGAAATTACTGTCAGGCAAGTTAACATATATTTGTGGCCCAAAATGGAATTTTGTGGATGCTAGCAAATTATAATTTTAGGTTAAAATAGTTTCTAAAGACTGCAACTATAGCATGCTAGTACACAATTTCTTTTGAAGATATCAAGCTTTGAAAAGAAAGAAAAAAAATGTCACATTACTCTATGAGGAATAAAGAAGAGATTAATCAATCATGGCTCAAATCAACTATTAATCTTATTGATATCTACATGTGGATGTAATACACCAGATATGATTTATTCATACTAAAGTCGTGTAGGTGAAGGTTGTGAGTTCATGCAGCAAATTTCTATTAGCAGACAATGCTCGAAGAAAAATGAAAAACCAGTATGAAAATCAATGACAAGTTCATCATAAATGGGCATGTTCGTAAACAAAAGGTTCCTATCTAAGCTCCTTTTCCATTGAGGAGTGGGACCAATCTATGCTGAACTTGGACAGGAAACAAAAATAAATATTGGGGAAGACAGGAAGGGGGTTAAATTGATATCGTTAAGAATTAATCAATTTAATGACTGAAAGGAAAGAAAATCGAGGGTAAATGGATAGTGATAGGATTCCAGCATCAGAAAGATGCAAAAGAAAGATATTTAGGTTGTACTTGGGTATTTTGGCAGTACCTTTTGAACTTTTGGAACTGTTACAAGGCTCGATGATCCTAGGATAATAAGGATGTTGCATACTTGTTTATAGAGCTGGCTGCATGCATGCATTGCAGACAATTCAAAGAATTAGTTTGTGAATAAGGGTAAACAATGATTCAGAAGATGATGAAAATTAGACATCACAAAGACCTCATAGATAGGTTTTGATTGCCTCCCAAAATCTTAAGATCTATTTTCTATTTTATCTTGCTAAGCGCTAACCAAACTAATCTCTTTAATTTCAATCTGGGACACTAATCAAAGTCTCACTCTCAATTTCATACCCACTGTCGCACCATCCACCACCACCATAGCTGCTGAATTCTTTTCCTCACCCACTGTAGAAGGTTCCAGTGTAGCTAACAGGGTATGATTAACGTCAAGTTTAAATTTTCTTCACTTTTTTACTGTCTGTTTGCAACTTTACATCTTGATTTAAACATGGAAACATTACTTTTACCGATTGGAAGGATGCACCACTTTCTAGAAGAGGACTGACAAGGGAGAGCAGAATGTGGAAAATAAGTAGGTAGAAAACGGAATGTCTAAATAAATAAATAACTAAACTAAATAATATATACCAGAAATTCTCTTAGTAAGGGCTACTATTATAATTTAGAATAGATCTAATACACATTTTAACCAGATAAAGACGATATTTTCCAAAAAATTTGAACCATGGAATGGTTTCTCAAAATCACATATAATACTCTAATCTGGTAAGGGGGGGAAACTCAAGGAAAAGACTAATAAGATTTATTTTATCTTTATTTCCAACTTCACCGTCGACAAGAGTAGAATAAATAAAATCAGGTATAAAATTTAATATCTGAGGTGGAGCGAATTCAAAGAAAACATTTCTTCCACGTTTGCAAGATATTGAATACATGTTTCCATCTCTTAAGCATTATGGGCATTATACTAAAAGCTTTGTAAGAAAAATATGTACAAGTTATATTTTAAAAGCTCAGGATACCACTAACGCAGCACACTAGTGCAGCTAATAATGAAGAAAGTTTATCCAATAATGTACAGAGCCAAAAGAAAATGTCAGTAATACATCTAAGGATACAAAAAACTCGTACTGAAATTTTATGTTAACAATGCATAGGCCATCGAACTCAAAATTGATGTTCCAATTTTATCTGCTCAAAAGAGATGGAACCAGACAAAAGGAAAAATACCACCAATTGCAAATATAACTGTGATTAATAATATCAAGCATACCTCCAGCATATTTTCCGTGGGGAAGAATCTTAAAAGAAGAGATATTAAAAAAAAAAAAAAAAAAAAAAAAAAAAAAAAAAAAAAGAAAGATGTTTTTAAAGTGGCTAAGAGAAATTACCCAAGAAGAGGTGGAATGGCTCCAACAATAGCCCCAACCCAAGTATTTACTGGATGTATCTGCTTTAGTGGAGTGTATACAAATGCATAAAGAAAAAGATTTGAAGCTGCAAGGCCAGCTGCCAGCATATTAGCCTGCCACCTTGGCATAAAGATTGCAACATCAGTTCCTTGCCAGGGATAAAAAAGAGAATACAATATCCTATTATCAGCTATCAAACAAGTTACTGAGACATATGACAACCTTGCAGGCCAACAAAGCAGTGCCAGCTACACCTACAGAAGATGCCCAGGTGATTGCATGAGGTACAGTAAGACGTCCTGATGGAAGTGGTCTATGTCTGGTTCGTTTCATCTTGGCATCATTATTTACTTCAAAAACCTAAAGCACAACTCATGGCAAATAAATGACTTCAATTTATCAACAATAAATATATAAAATCCATTATAAACTGGAAAACAGCTTTGAGAGCGTAAACAGAAATTCAAAAGAATAATACACATCATTTAGTTGAACAACTAATAGAAATGAATCAATCACATACACAGAACACTTTTTCTTTTAAAAATTATATGTGAGCAGCTTTGATGCGAAACAAAAGAACTGTCCATTTTTTTTTTGGAAGCCGACAAGTGTTCATTTTTATCAAACAAATCTTAATTGATACAGCAGATGATAAAACTATGAGCATCCCACTATAGTCAGTCACTATCTAGTTTCACGTCAAGCAAGTCAATCGATAACTACCTACTTGTTTTCATATTGTCTAAAAAATGCAAAAGAAGGGCATCCACTCACTGATACATCTCTTTTGCAAATTGCACAAGACCTTCTTCTCTCTCATTTGGTTCCCTTCATAATGAACTAAAACACAATGATTATACGACTACAGGTGTCGCTAAACTTGGATTATAAAGCGAATATAAAACATTATGATGGTATCTGATGATTCTAGAGCCTCAGCGGGGAAATAAACAAGGGTTGACAAAAGAAAGAACTCCACCCTGCCAAGTGAACATATCCATGTTTCCCATGAAGACTGGTTTCCTTTTCTTTTTCTCATTTAAGGTCATGGATGAGAGAAACAAAATTTATTTCATTTTTCTTCTTCCTATTTCTCCGTTTTCCCTTCTCTCTCTCTCTCTCTCTCTCTCTCTCTCTCTCTCAAGGCAGATGCTTGAACAAGCTTAAGATACCACTGAATGGCGTGAGGTTTAGTCCCCATGAATATGACCGAAGATTGTCCAAAGCAGACCTCACTTTATAATTTCCAATATATATATATTAAAATGAAAAGCGCAACAGACCTGATTTAAGGAGTTGGCAGAAGCTGCAACCATCATCGTGCCAGCACAGGTACAGCAAAGACCAAGGTAGTCAATGGAAATGCCACTACCAAGGATATATCCAGTGCCAGAAGTAGCAACAACTAGCATGCTAAAGACAATGTAAAAAAGGATATATGAGAGGATGAGCATTCAAGATATAGATGTAACCAGCTATTGAATAAAAGTACTCATAAAAGGAAACACACATATACTGAGTGAAACTCTTACAAAATTGCTAGAGTAGACAGAAGCAATCAGAAAATTAAGCGCCTGTTGGAGCCCTATTTTGGCAGAATGCATTTTGGAATAGTAAATTAATGGAGAATGTGTGGTTAAAAAGTAAAGAAAAGTTTTGGGTTTGCGTGTAATATTATTTTATTAAAGAATGTGTGGTTGAAAAAAAGAGAAACAAATGTATTCTGGAACAATGGGGATCAAACAAATGCTAAGAAGGTCTGATACAATTATATGGGGAGATAGACCAGGATTTATTACAAATTGGTTAGCCAGCATTTTTCACTGTAATTCAGATATATGGTTATGAGGTAGAAAATGTACTCCAAAACTAGCAGAAATATAAAAAGCTATTACATCAAGATGCCAAAGTTTTTGACAAATGGGTACAGACCATTGGAAGTAACTTTACCACGTCTCTTGGTGTCATAGAACGTGTGATATTGTCTGATTGTGACCAATTCATTTTGCCCAACTTTAACACCTTGTACGCACAGAATCCACGCACAAGATAATACTGTTTGAGGATATATGAAAACCCCAATTTGATAATAACAGACACATAACATATCGATACTGAATATTCTAGACTTAGTGCAATTATATGTATTAGTGACCGACAAAACTTCAAGAATGTACATCCCATCTTACTTGTTTTCTCTGCAGATGAAATAAAAAATGTATCCATCCAAAAAGACTTCAAAAGGAGGATTAATCGGATGAATTTTTGAAAGTTGTCTTCTTGGGAATGCATGAAAATTTTCTCGACGTCACCCACCAATACGGAAGAATCATGCCAAAACTATTTTGTTCATTTTTCTTTTTTTTCCTTGGCAAAGTATCTTAAAGACTCACAAGATTTGTGCATAAGCAATCCTCTTCCCTTTTTCGGAGGAATCTTATCCAAACCTTGCCCCGCAATAATCCTGGTCAATTTATTAACTCTAACCCCCTTCTATACAGGTGATTCAGAATTTAATTATATATTTCTTATCGAGCTTCTGGATGAAACAATCCTGAATGATATGCATGCCCGTATAATGAAAGTTCATTATATCCCACTCAATGAGTTATTTTCCCCAATTTGACAAACTCAATATCTACAAACGTATAGACCAAACGGATTAATTTTTTCTTGAAATTATCACTGATTCAAACAAATATAAGCTCTTTATGTAAGAACCTATTTAAGAATTTTCTTTTTCTTCCGTACATGCAGGTGTTGGAAAAGAAAGAAAAAATCCACCTCAAAAGGTTAAAAACATATGACAAATCAATCAAGCACAATTACATGTAAATCACAATACGAGGAGGTTATTTCAGCAATACAGCACTCTTGTTTCATCCTCAGGATTATTCCTTTAAGTGATACAAAATTCTGCATGGGTAGAAGCAGCAGTATCTGATTAGGATATCCAGGGATCTATTCTTCGAGGGGAGTGGAATCACAGAAAATGCATAATTAATTATAGTGGAGTGAAGGAGAATGGATAAAACTATGCAAATAAACCAGTTGTGCAGATTATCAACTCTACCTTCCCCTTCCTTACCCTCTAGAGCCTCTACTCCAAATGCAGAAGTTGTAAATTAAGAAATCCAGTTACATCAGAAAAATAGATTTGATCTATTTTAAGTGACAAAAGCTATTGCAAACGGACATATATACAAACCACAGGGTAATCACAGTCAGTAGGCTGCCCTTTATTTTTACGTTAGCTATTTGAAATCTAAATATTCTGCCTAAGCTCTTAAACACGTACCACAAAGTACATTAATATCACGTTTCAATCAGCAAAAATAAAAAATTTGCCAAATCCATTAATCACCATAAAATTGAGCAATTTGACTGACGTGAAATGCATTTAAAATATGTTCTAAACCAACCAAATTCTCCAATAAGATGGATCTACATTTCTAACATTATGCTTGAGGTCACGAAATTCCAACACCTCGAAATTAAAATTTTGTCAAAAAAAAAAAAAAAGTGTGTGAACTGAACCAGTTTCAACACACCTCAGACGAGCTTTTGAGAGCTCCCAATAACAGCGACCATAATGCTTGGCCAAGTACGCCACATCCTTAGCCTTCCCCATCGACGAAGCCGCTAACGACGATAAGTCAGCGGCGCTGGCTGACGCGGCATGAGCCCCAAAATTTACGATCCCAGGACCGGACTCGGACCACTTCACTGGATCGGCCACCGACGTGGACTCTGGGCTTGTGGAATTAGATCGGCCAAGAAGGGCATGATAGGAAGGTTTCGGGGAAGTGCGAAGGAAGAAGGGGAGACAATAACTCGAATTAGAGTGGGCGAGTTTGGATGAAAAACTCAGCGAGTTTCTCCACATGGCCGACTCAGTAGGAGCGAGTTCGTCTAGGGGAAATTATGAAGTTTCGACAGAATTTTCGACCGATTAGATGAGATAGTGGAGAAGAAATTAGGGCTGCGTTGACAAGCAGTGACGGATGTTAAATGACTGACCAATAAAATTGGGCCATGCAGGAGCGCAGTCTCTGCTTTTTGCTAATGTATTTTTATGGAAAATTTGCTGCAGAGGTCTCCAAATCTTTTAAAAATGTGGAATAGGATCTTAAACCTTCTAATGATAGCAGTAGTTCGGTCTAAATCTTAATATATACTGATTCTCATGTTAAAAGCTTCAAAAAAAAAAAAAAAAAAAAAAAAAACAATAGCAAATGGGAAAAAAAAAGGTTTCCAAAAAAAAAAAAAAATACAATAGCAAATGGGAAAAAAAAAGGTTTCCAAAAAAAAAAAAAAATACAATAGCAAATGGGAAAAAAAAAGGTTTCCAAAAAAAAAAAAAAATACAATAGCAAATGGGAAAAAAAAAGGTTTCCAAAAAAAAAAAAAAATACAATAGCAAATGGGAATAAAACAGTATTCCAAAAAAAAAATATTATAATTTATTTATTGCTAGTATTATGTAGAAAAACTAAATAAATATTTTAATTCAACAATCAACTAAATCACGTCGACTAACATTGTCGTCCACAAACATTAAGGGAGGTGAATCGGCAATGATTGACCACTTATTGTTGGTAGTTATGTACAAATCACCAACACACGTGAATTTTTATAAAAGTTCGTGAATCTACTAATTTTCTCAAAAAAAGTCTTCAACGACTTTGTTTCAAGCCCCAAATTGCTTGAATTGTTTCTAAATATCAATCAAAGTCGAACTCATGCTTACGCTTTGTCTAGTAAAATTTAGTTTGAAAATGTATTTGCATTTAAATATTAATTCACATTCTTGAACTTTCTAGTGAGAAGAATTACGCCATAACTTTTTCTGTAGAAAACAATGACGTCAATGATGATAAGGTAGGAGGGGTGAGAGGAAAAATCGTAGCATACTTTGACATGAATTTTGGATCAACAAACTTACTAGAAAAAATGAATTTCAAGATCTTTGTGTGGTTGAATCATCTTGCTTTCAAATCTCTAAAATTTGTATTTTCTTGTACTCTAATGATCCAAATCCCGATCACAATAGAAGGGGATTATTGTCCACAATCTAAGTGTTATTTCTTGTGAGATTTCATGCAAAAAATGTGATTCTAAGGACTTTCCAATTTTGAGGTGAATTTTCATACGAATTTTTCACCATTTTTTTCATGTCTTGCATTTTTCCCCTCTTTTCCATAACTTTTATATGAAAGTTTCAAGTGGCTACTTGGGAGTTATGGGTTTGAATTCTAAATTCAAACTACTCCCTCCAACTCTTTTAAAATCTTGCGGGTCGGGTCACCCCACATGGGTGACCCATTATCCATATTTTCCAACATCTCCCACTCGTACATGATGGGGTTGATCTGAGCCACAAGTAACAACGAATATCACATCTTAGATCCTTCTCAAGATCTATCTCACAAAGATTCATACGGCAAATGAATCGTGCGACCAACGAGTAATATTAGAGCTCATGGTACTATAAACCTGTTAGGGATATATAGTAGCTCTACTAGAGGAGGAACATCACATCTCGCTATACCCCAGACTCATTTTCCAACATTAATTCAAGTATTTCCGATCCCTCGAGTATTTGTGGAACATACTTGAACTCTGCATCATATCATTGTATTCACAATTGCATTCTATACCCAAAATGGTTAAATACAATTGTTCGGCCGGTGAATACAAACATAAATGTTGGTCAAAATAGTTTTCCTTTCCTAGTTGAATCCTTCGATTTTAAATCAGCTGCTTTCCTAGACATGCCCTATAAAACCGAATCAATCATAGTCGTTGACAATATGATAAAGTAGTAACACTGAAATAAAATCTCAAGAAATAGTCAAAAGCCATAAGGGTATATAGGAGGTTATATAAACCTCAGAGTCTCACACAATGAGGAAGCAGGGATCTATTAACTCATTTACCCAATATTGGTCGTAAAAGCACACGCGGTATGAAACATGTGCTACGATATTTTCTCTATTTCTTAGGACGTATGTCATATTCTTTGTAAACAAATAACATCGTACAGATCCTTGTTCAAGTATTCCTAAATACCTAACTTGAGTTCTCCTTATGTTCATTCCTCCAGGCATTCTCAAATTGAGAACTCGATCTGGCTACTAAACGGGTTTAATGGATAGCGAAATCCATTTCGACTACTTGTTGTAATATCATCTTGATACTTTATCAAAGTGACTGGATCAGGTAAACAAAATGATAACTATCAAGGCAATTGGATCATGTACACAACATGATCACTGTGTCTCATCTCAGCATATCTTAAAACGTTTGAGGCGATTGCTTGTGTGAGTAAGCCAATATCAACCCGTTGGACATACTTTATACGTCCATACAAATCATTTATCTTGTAATCCCAACATTAGATTACACATGGACTCAAAATTGTTCATCTATGGGCAAACAAAACTCAATCAAGAGTTTGTCCGATACACCAAGTATCATATTCCACGAAATTCTAGAGATTCCATATTATCAACAAATATATCTCTAAACATCTTTAGAGTACGATAATTACATATCATTATTTATGTAGATATATCGCAAAGACACTTTCTTTGCTAATGTCTCTCACATAATTACCATTAAGGGTGTGTTTGATTACATTTATTTTTCATGGAAAATATCAGTTTTTCACCCAAATTCCTATTTAGAGTGTTTGATTGCTATTTTTTTCCATGGAAAATATTTTCCAACTTTTGAAAATACGCCTAATTTTCCTTGTTTTTAAAGAAAACATTTTCCTTAGGTAGAGGTTGTTCTTATTTTCCACAAAAGATAGAAAATATTTTCTTTTCTAGGTGATATTTTTCCTGTCAATCAAACACACTCTAAGTGTTTGGTTCTATTTTGATACTTGAGATCTTAATATATAAGATAGTTGCGTAACTATCATAGATCTCATATTCTCAACTAGTATCATTAGATGCTCGATACATCCATGCCAAATAATTTCTTTAGCTGCCAAGATATACATAACAACATATGCTTCTTGTTACTCTATATAGCAAAAGCGCACAAGTTAAATAACTAATTGTGCTCGATTAACTCTCATTCTTAGTCAACAATTGTATATCTATTCCAATCATAAGTTATTCCTTTGACAACGAAATATAATAACTGACAGCAGCACCCTTCAGATATCAATACATTTTCTAAAGATAATATTGATATCTACTGATTAGATCCATGGCATGATCATTGTTAGGAAAAGTATATATCATAGTATACTTCTATCTCCTAACTCTTAACCATACTAGATATGATTCTTTGGATATTTCTTTGTGTACTTATGAAATTTTTGGACATTTATGAAGACTTATATGGTCACAGTTGCAATTCCACATGAGCATTTATAGCATAAAACTCTTATAATAGAGCAAGAACATACGAAGAATATTCTTAGCACAAATCATGCAATTTGCTAAACCCATGTCTTTTGTCTAAAAAAAATGACAACAATCATTTCAAATTGGTTTCTATGCACTCCTTATCATGCTTAGCCAATCCAATGTCATTAATATCAATACTAGAATTACAACCTACAATCAGACCTTTGGTACAAATACAGTAATTTTCGTTCATATGACGAAATTCTTGTACGAGATTTAACCCTGTTAAAAATTCAAGTACGACTGTCGAGATGACTGTATTTGGCCATGCGTGTAACTGTAAAGTTACCACTATATAAAAAAAAGGCTTTAACATGTAATATAAAAGTCGATTCATGTTGATATCTTTAATCATTTCTCAATTGAGAATAAAAAATACAGTTTCTAGATCAATTTGGTGTAACTCTAAATGTAAACATACCATCACGGCTAGCATTGATGTACAAAAGTGAATCCCATCGTTATGAAAAATCTTATTCAACTCAATAAACTCACATTGAGTATAACATTTTTAAAAAATGAGCTTTATCTTTCAAAAACGCATTAGTTTTTCACTTAACTTTCAAGAATCTAAATGTTCTCAGTAAACATAATGTCCGCATAGAACTTTCACCATATCCAGATTAGGTTGAAATTATATTCTCCATATATAGACTTCCATCACTTTTCTCGAAATTCCTCTTTTGATTTTCTGAACTAGCTCTTAGATCCAACTTGGAACTAAGAATCATTGAAATTAGACAGTTCTTATATGGCTCCCACTTGGATAGATAAGTCCAACTCGGAAACAGATTACTCCTACTTGAATTAGAAGTTTGGATCGTCTCTTATATATTCAAAACTGATTTATCAATACATATAATATCAATTTCAACGATGTTCTCCAATCTTTTTCTCCCTTATTGGAAAAAATGTCAAATGTCATATCTTATGACTCGATATCCATCCAAAAATTCCACTTAAGTACCTTTTTGGACTACATATATGTCATTGAGACACATTTTGTTCTTAAAAGACTCATGTTCCCATACTCATTATCGAGAACATATATAGTCAGTTAAGAGTCTATGAAAACCCACATTAGATCATTTACGTGTCCAAACTTATATATTATGAAGTTACCAACATTGAGATAACTTTATTAACTGATACGTTGTAGTTAGGTAACGCTCTTTTCAAAAGCAAATACGTAAGTTGGACTCTATATCTTAAACTTCATCACATTCAGCAATATTTCGTTCCTTCAATCAAATACACCATATAATTATTGGTGATTAAGGAATAATCTATCAAATAATAATCTCTTTCATTGCATAGATCATTGATATCTCGTGATAGAGAGTCATGACATCAGATAATTCTCAAAGTCTTCACTTCCACAATCTGATTTTCTACTTGACTTCAGAAAAATCTAAACCAGTACAATATCTTCAATTTAAGAAAACCAGAGGCATATCTAAAATGTGTGAATCTATCTATAAATGTAATGAAAAGTAAAGTTCCATCTCTATCTCTTTTA